CCTCAGCCAAAAGAAGACTCATCCTCGCCACCTGAGAATGTGTAATGAAGAGGAACCACTTAATTATTGCCGTGAGAAAGCCTCCTGTGACATGTCACCACTAGTCACGTAGAGTCATATTGGAACTTGACGGAGCTTGGGCTTTTCCTGTGAGGAAGCGCAGAGGAGACAGACTCAGGGTTCGTTATGCGCTTATAACAACATTCAGCCACAGGGCTCCCCCTTGGTTTGCACTTAAGCCATCTCAGCATTATGTTAAAAAGAAAACTAACAAGGGAATTCCCTGCAGAGTCCCAGTGGTTAGGACTCCGCGCTTTCACTGTCGGAGGACCTGGCTTTGATCCCTGTCGGGGAACTAAGATCCCGCAAGCCCCACGGTGTGACCAATAAAGAAAAAAGAAAAATAACAAAGAGGTGGAGGGGATAGAGACAAAGACTATAAACGGAAAAAAACAAATGCTTTCGTAAGCTCTTTCAGACTTTCCTGCCAAGCCTGTTGCAGTTTTTCATCAGTTCTGTTTTTTGGTGGGGCAATGTTTGAGGGAGCAAAGGACCCCAGCCCTTTGTTTTTATGTGTTCACTGCTGTCTTGTGTCATGAAACTTGGACGTTGAGGGCAGCTCCACCAACATTTGTTGGAAGGCTTGGTTCCGAACATCTCTAGCCATTGGCATAATTCTTTGTGAGAAATATGAGGGCTTGAGTCATGAGCTACTTGAACTTGTAAGAAATTAGAATACCGAAAATAGCATCACACAATACTTGTATTTTATATCTAAGGAGAGAATGGTCCACATAGGGATCGCCACATTAAAATGTGCACCCCTAAAGACGTTGAATTTTTTTTTAATAGGTAAACTCCTGTTCATCTGGTTTTAAATGCCTGATACTATCTCTCACTCTTTCTTCTTCTTCTTCTTCTTTTTTTTTTTTTAGTTTAAAAAGAAGTACGTTTATTAGTATATGCACACAGTTTGCAGAATAGAAACATTTAGAGTATTTAGGGAAATTCAGTCAAATTAAACAAACCTCAGTGAAAATATGTTGTATTTGTTTAATGGCAGACAGGTAATTACTTGAGTCTATTAACTGGCTGCATTTTCAGTCTTCAATACGTTCTTTTTTTTTTTCTTTTAATTTTTTTTTTATTTTATCTTTGACCGCATTGGGTCTTCATTGCTGTGTGTGGACTTTTCTCTGGTTGCGGTGAACAGGGGCTACTCTTCGTTGTGGTGCGCAGGCTCCTCATTGCGGTGGCTTTTCTTGTTGTGGAGCACAGACTCTAGGCACGCGGGCTCAGTAGTTGTGGCGCACGGGCTTAGTTGCTCCACAGCATGTGGGATCTTCCTGGACTAGGGCTCAAACCCATGTCCCCTGCGTTGGCAGGTGGATTCTTAACCACTGCACCACCAGGGAAACCCTCAATAGGTTCTTTGAAAAGATGTTTAGCAAGGTGGAAGATAACTTGATCCATGTCACTTAGAGGCTTTATTTATCTATTTTTAAAAATATTATTGGAGTATAGTTGATTTATAATGTTGTACAGCAAAGGTGTACAGCAAAGTGATTCAGTTATACATATATACATATACTCATGTATATGAGTTATATATATACTCATTCTTTTTCAGATTATTTTCCCTTATATGTTATTACAAAATATTGAGTATAGTTCCCTGTTCTATACCGTAGGCAGTTGTTGGTTATCTGTTTTATATATAATAGTGTGTATATGTCAATTCCAATCTCCCAATTTATCCCTCCCCCCCCAATTCTCATTCTTGATTCCATTCTATGTGGGGTTTTTTCTTTTTCTTTTTTTTAATCATTCATTCATTCACTTCGATATTTATTGGATGCCAGAATCACTGTTCTGGGCACTTGAAAGGCATCACTGAACAAAACAGGTTGAAAAAAGAAACAATCTTGCCCTGCAGAGTTTACATAAGCAGCATAATAAACAATAAATTGTATAAAATACTAGAAGGTCATAAGTGTTACTGAAGGGAAAAAACGGAGCAGTGTAAGTTCAATGATACACACCAATCTGTGAGGGGATAAGAACACGTCATAATTTTAAATAGAATGGTTAAAGTGGGGCCTCTTCTCAAAGCTGACGTTTATGCAAAGACTTGGGAAGAGAAGAAGGTGCTAGCTATGTAGGTATTTGGAGAAAGTTCTCCCCATGTAGAGGGAACATCCAGTTCAAGGGCTTTACAGCTGGGACATAACCTGGAATATTCGAGGCACATCAAGGAGGTGATGGAGCTGAATCAGTGATGAAGAGAGGGAATAGTAGGAGATTAATTCAGAAAGGAAATTGGGAGTCCAATGCAGTCAAACGCTGCATAACACTATTAGGGTCTTGGCTTTGACTCTGAATGAAATGGGGAGACATTGGAGGATTTGAAGCAGAGGAATGGCTTGATCTGCCATGTCTTTAAAGGGTCACACCGGCTGATGTATTGAAAGTGGTTTGTTGGAGGGTTTGTTTTCTTTATTGTCTCTGACAGCAAGGTGCTCATCCTGTATGGCTGTGGCCTTCTGAGGTGAGTGCTAGTTCTTTCCTCTTTCCACTGTTTCAGCCTCTCTAACCCTGTGGAAAGGACTGGACATTTCCAAGTCCCCCTCTGCAGCTTTCTAGCGGTTGAATTATAGGTAAAACCAGTAAAATAAAACACACATCCAAGTTAAATTCACGGTAAAGGAGAAGGATCCTCCTTGTCCGATCTTATAAATGTTTGTGTGAAGCTGTTTTTTATGTTTTTACAGAGTAAAGTGCCAGGGATTTTAACAGGTGAGTCTAGATGTATACATGCAGGTCTCGTGTTCGTATGGGTTTCACAGTTGCCACCATGGACTTACTCCCTTGTGCTGGCATTGGATATGAGTACTTGAAATTTGTCCTGAGATTTTTTTTCCTTTGAGGCTAGTTTTCAAGCTACACAAGATAATCAGTATTAACTGAAATAATGTGAAAAAATGTGCCATACAGGGGCTTCCCTGGTGGTTCAGTGGTTAAGAATCTGCCTGCCAATGCAGGGGACACGGGTTTAAGCCCTGGTCCAGGAGGATCCCACACGCTGCAGAGTGACTAAGCCCATGTGCCACAGCTACTGAGCCTGCGGTGTAGAGCCCGAGAGCCACAACTACTGAGCCCATGTGCTTAGAGCCTGTGCTCCACAACAAGAGAAACCACCGCAATGAGAATCCTGCACACCGCAACAAAGAGTAGCCCCCGCTCGCCACAACTAGAGAAAGCCCACACGCAGCGACGAAGACCCAATGCAGGCAAAAAGAAATTTAAAAAATAAATGTGCCATACAGAAAAATATAAAATGATCATTTTTCTCACTCGGGGCCTTCTTCAGAGCCCTTTCTTTTTTTTTTTGGCTGCGCTGGGTGTTCATTGTGGCGCACGGGCTTCTCTAGTTGTGGCGTGTGGACTTAGTTGTCCCGCTGCATGTGGGCTCTTAGTTCCCCCACCAGGGATCAAACCTGTATTGGAAGGCAGATTCTTAGCCACTGGACCACCAGGAAAGTCCCTTCAGAGCCTTTTTTTTTTTTTTTTTTGGTGGGTTTGGGTCTTCGTTGCTGCATGTGGGTTTTCTCTAGTTGTGGCACATGGGCTCAGTAGTTGTGGCTCGTGGGCTCTAGAGCACAGGCTCAGTAGTTGTAGCACACAGGCTTAGCTGCTCCGTGGCGTGTGGGATCTTCCCAGACCAGGGCTCAAACCTGTGTCCCCTGCACTGGCAGGCGGATTCTTAACCACTGCACCACCAGGGAAGCCCGTCATTTGTTTTGAATCTCAAAATTTCCCAGATTTGAGTCCATGGGAGTTCCTTTATGCTGGTTTGTCCCATTTTCATGTCACCATCACATTTTGTGCACTTAGCTCTGATACAAAAGATATTACAGTTTCATCCTGCAAATTTCCTTTCTCTGCCAGGAATCAGTCTTTTCTCTAAGGAGATTTTCTTTTTGGTAGAGAAAGGTATTGAGAAATCAAGAACTGTGTCTTGGATGTGCTCAAGGACATAGGTGAACCGTTGCTTCCGGGCCTTCTTTGACTACACTGCATTTAGGTTCACAAACACTACCCATGCCATGGCAAGATACAAGCCATTAACTAAAGTTCAGGAAGTGTTTCAAACTTTTTCAATGTAAAGTTTATTTCAGGGGAATACACGAACATCAACTGTACAATTTGATGACTGATAAATGCATTTATACATGAAAAAACTTCCCAGTCTAGGTATAGAACAATTCTGTGATGCCGAAAAATGCCCACTTGCCTGATTCCGTGAGTCTCTGAGAGTCATTCACTTTCTGATTTTTTTCAATGTAGTTGTTTTGCCTATTCTTTCATTGGTATCTAAATTTAGCCCATACTGGGGAATTCCCTGACAGTCCAGTGGTTTGGACTGGGTGCTCTCACTGCCAAGGGCCTGGGTTCAATCCCTGGTCGGGGAACTAAGATCCCACAAGTTCTGCAGAGTGGAAAAAAAAATTTAGCCTGTACTAGTTTTATGAAATAGAAGTATTTTATTTGAAATGTTAAATATATTTATAAGTTTTAATTAAGGTTTTTATTGATATTTTTCCTGGGCTTTTTAATTAATTGCCCAGGCATAACAAAATTATACATACCATCTAGTCAGTTCATGTCTGTCCTTGTGTACACATAATTTGGTCTCCTTATTCAGGAACATGGTTTGCACCTTCATCCTACAGCGTTAGGCATCTCTTCCTGTGGGCCTTGCACTAAAGGATTCTATTTTGGGTTTTCCTCACAGCCTCCCCATGAAGCAGGTGCCTGAAAGGCATCATTTTCCATAAAAGGAAATCGAGGCTCAGGGAGATAAATGTACTTGCTGAAAGGCAGGGAACTGATGAGCAGCTGAACCAAGCTAGAGACACAGTTTGGCTGTACCTGGGGTTTGTGCTGTATAACCACAAAACTATGCCACATGGCTCCAGAATGGGCCAAGGTCTGGCACGATGGTGACCATGATGATGATGGGGATGGTGATGACAATGACGTTGATGATGGCAGCTGGGATTGTAACCATCAACAGACCCATTCATTAGGGAGCACAAGGTGCTGCCCTATGCACTTTTCATACATTAACCAATAGACCCTCCTACAGCCCTGAGCAGCAGCTACAACATTATCCTATTTTACCAAGGAGGAAATTGACACACAAACAGCTCATTGACTAGCACAGGGTCACACAGGGCATAAGCAGTGAAGCTGGAATTTGACGCATCAGTCGGCCTCCAGAACTGGACTCTTGGGTGCTACACAAAGGAGGAAAGGACATGCAGCAGGAAGGGGAAAGTGGAGGTGAGGGGTTAGTGGGATAGGGAGAATTTAATGGGATAACAGAGGGAGCCTATGGGGGACGGTGATTTGGTGATTCCCAGATGTTAGCATTTCATGAATCACTAAAAAATTTTTTTTGACTAGAAAGCTCACACAGATTTGGTAAAAAAGGACATTTCACACCCACATTTCAAAAAATAAAGGACTTTTACCTGGAAAGAAGGCAGAGGATAGCATCTCACAATGGAGGGGCATCTTCTAATGTAAGTTGAGCTTAATGAGAGACTTAATGTATTAGCTGTATTTTCATGACTTTGAGAGCACAGGGGTGCCAGAATTAAACGTGTGGTAATCGACAGTGCCTGGAACAGGCCTGACATGTGGTCAGTGTCAGTGGACATTAGTGATAGCCATTGATACCAGTGCTTTCAATTTAAATGGATGTACTTTTTATCTAACTTAAGTAGATTTATTCCAGGAGGGAAACATGCATTACTCTGGTAAATTGGAAAACCAGTTTGATTGGCTACAAATGGAGACTTGCCCTCAAAACACAACAATGAAATTGAAATAATGAAATCAAGTCCCAGGGAGCTCATGCTGCCTCCTGAAGCCTGTGAGTATAAAATTGTTCTCTCATAAAAAAGGGAAATTATTCACAGTCAGAAAAGTATCAATAACAAAGCACGAATGGAGACTTCCTTTCGAAAACTTTAAGGCAGAAAAAAGGGAAAACGTTCGTCTTCTCAGGGTGTCCATCATGGCATGTGAAGAGGGTAATTATAATCCAGGCAAACAATCAGAAATATAATACATGTTAGCAGGAAGAAAAAAAAATCCAATTGACCGTGCCTCCACTGCCGGGGGCCCGGTTCGATCCCTGGTCAGGGAGGTAAGATCCCCAAACCACATGGTGTGGCCACAACAAACATACAAACAAAATCTAATTGAATAGTAACATACAAGGATAAGTAGACAATGTTAAAATAGCTTTTACAAATATCCTACATTTGTTCTTGGAAGTCTGCAAAAGAAAGATCTTGATAAAGGTAATCCATGTACATCAGTCTGAGCAATCAACATTTTATTTTATTTTTTCATATTTATTTATTTTCATATTTATATATTTATTTTAAGTCCCCCCCCCCACCGTTTTTTATGTCAGTGGGGGAAAATTCACTAAAAAAGATGACTTAGGACTTGTTTTTGGTTAAGGGTAAGGATTATTTAAAAACCAAAAGGTGGGACTTCGCTGGTGGCACAGTGGTTAAGAATCCACCTGCCAATGCAGGGGACACAGGTTCGATCCCCGGGAAGATCCTACATGCCGTGTAGCAACTAAGCCTGTGTGCCACAACTACTGAGCCTGCACTCTAAGGCCCGGGAGCCACAACTACTCAGCCCTCGCACCTCCAGCCCGTGCTCCGCAACAAAAGAAGCCACTGCAATGAGAAGCCCGCGCGCCTCAAGGAAGAGTAGCCCCTGTTCTCCACAGCTAGAAATAGCCTGCGCACAGCAACAAAGACCCAATGCGACCAAAAATAAATTAATTTATAAAAATAAACAAAAATAAATAAATAAAAACACAAAGGTCATCAACCAAAGAAAATAAATTAATTGAAGCTTAATCAAAATTAAAACTTTCCTTTTCAAGAGATAGTTAAGAAAGTAAGAACTCAAGTCACAACCTAGAGAAAGATAGTTGTAAGAACTATCTCTGAAAAATGACTGTGCTTCTCAATATGTAAATGGTCCTTATAACAATAACGAAAAATAACACAATTCAAAATATTCGCAAAACTTCTCAAGGCATGTGTCACCAAAGAAGTATAAATGGTAAATAAGAAAATGAAAATATGCTTCTCCTTATTACTCAGCATTGTAAACACATTTTAAAGCCACAGTGAGGGACTACTACACACTCATTGGAATGACTAAAATTCAAGCACTGACAATTTCAAGTTAATGAAGAGATGAAACAGCTACAACTCATATATTTCTTGAGGGAATACAAATTGATAAATAACTTTAGAAAATACTGTTGTACTCTCTTGTAATGCTATACATACACATATCATACGACACGGTAATCTCAATTGTAGGTATATCCTTAAGAAAAATTAAATCTTATGACTCAGGAATACTTCGGTGGAAATATTCACAGTAACAGCAGCTTTATTCGTAAAAGCCAAAAAACAATATAACGTTTGTGATTTTACTTTTTTTTCCCCCGTCATGTGTTAAAATATCTAAACTAGTCCCAAGACAGAGTGGCTCATGCTAAGACCCAAATCTGAATGCTGAAACTTACTTCAATTTCTATTTTTTGCAGATATCTGGCTCTTTCAGGAGCGGAAATCTAAGGCCAGCCAATCAGAATATGCCTGATAAGCTTTAGTTTTTCACAACCTTGTTCCAAAACTTCCCTGTGCCCCACATAAAGAAAATTAACCTTTCTATGACGAATCAGCTATTGCCTAGTATGAATTCCTTGTTCTCAAGTATTTTTGTCTATGTAATCTGTGCATTCTGAATAGCTCTTCAGAGCTCCTCTCTATTTTCTAGACTGGATGCTTTCCAGTTCATGAGTCACTACGTAAAAGCAAACTATGTCCCAAAATTAAAGTCTGTGAAATTTTCTCTTAAGATGTATTAAGTTTCTTTTTTTTCATAATTGTATAGGTTTGCATAGTCTGAATTTTTAAAACTTATTTATTTTTGGCTGCTTTGGGTCTTCATTGCTGCAAGTGGGCTTTTCTCTAGTTGCGGCGAGCAGGAGCTACTCTTCGTTATGGTGCTCAGGCTTCTCATTGTGGTGGCTTCTCTTGTTGTGGAGCACGGGCTCTAGGCACGGGGGCTTCAGTAATTGTGGCACACGGGCTCAGTAGTTGTGGCTCCCAGGCTCTAGAGCGCAGGCTCAGTAGTTGTGGCGCATGGGCTTAGTTGCTCCGTGGCATTGAATTTTTTTAATTCAATTTTACATTCAAATCTTGAAATCTTTCTCTGCTTCTTTTTTTTTTTTTTCATGCTTTTGGTAGGTATAGCAGTGCTACTTAGAGATATCTGACATGTTTTCTTATTGATACACTGGTTTACGTAGTGCATGTATCAATAGAAAGTATTTTTTGCACAAAGGGGCAGAGGTTTAAAGTAACTGCATAACGCTAAACACTTCTGCAAAGTAATTTTAATAGATACCCAATGGCAGTTTGTGATATTTACTAATTTCTTTAGTTTTACCAACATTTGGTAATGTCAGACTTCCTTAGGCTCATCAATCTGATTCGTTTCATTTTCATTTTCCTAATGGAAAATAAGACTACTTTTTTAAAAATGTTGTTTGCTTTCATAATTCTAATCTGAAGTGACATAGAAGAATTTTGCCTTCTCAGGTTTTAAATCTTTCATTTGTAGTAATTATCGAATTTATTTATTATTTATATATTAAATCTTTAATAATTTATATGTCTTAATATCTTCCTAAGTGTTTTCTTGTCATTTCAATTTTTACGTTTTTTTAAAGAAGTCTGCTATTATCATATAGTTTGTGTACATGCTGTGGTAATTTTTATATTTGCTTTGAGAAGTCCTGTAAGGCATGCCAAATTAATAGTGTTGTGAAGTGTGAAATAAAAAGGAGTCACTTCTGTCAAGGGATTTTTAAAAAATTATATATATATATATATATTTATTTATTTATTTATTTATGGCTGCATTGAGTCTTCTTTGCTGCGCGCGGGCTTTCTCTAGTTGCGGCGAGCGGGGGCTACTCTTCGTTGTGGTGCGCGGGCTTCTCATTGTGGTGGCTTCTCTTGTTGTGGAGCACAGGCTCTAAGTGCGCAGGCTTCAGTAGTTGTGGCACGTGGGCTTCAGTAGTTGTAGCTCGCGGGCTTCAGTAGTTGTAGCTCGCGGGCTCTAGAGCGCAGGCTCAGTAGTTGTGGCGCATGGGCTTAGTTACTCAGCGGCATGTGGGATCTTCTCGGACCAGGGCTCGAACCCGCGTCCCCTGCATTGGCAGGCGGATTCTTAACCACTGCACCACCAGGGAAGTACCCTGTCAAGGGATTTTTAACATGGAGCTGGGAGGCTATTAATTAGTGGACCTCCTGCACTTCCCCATTTTGTGAAACCATGAACTTTTGATCTGGGCCTACCTGCAAATATTCCAAGGATTCTGCAAAAACACCTGCAACTTGTCACACTAATGGACTATTACTTCCCTGTAGTGATAGCCTTAGCACTCAGTCCTGTTCTGCAGAGACTAGCTTCTGCCTCCAACTCCAATTAAAATCCTTTGTAATGCAAACCTCTCTTTGTCTTTAAAAGCTCCTTACTTTTATTCCCTAGCCCACACCCCCGCCCCACCCCCACCCATCCCCAAACCCCCAACCCCCGTGAAAAATTGTCTTCCACGAAACCGGACCCTGTGCCAAAAGGGTTGGGGACCGATGGCCTAGCCCGACATCTTTTTTGTTGCTACTTAAATGTGTGCCCCGAATTGCAATTCTTTGGTCCCAAGGTAACGCGTTGTGCTTGATTATTGTCTCTCAGGTTAATTTAGGTTGACAGTATCCACTATACAGTTATGTTTTCTAATTTCATGTATTTTATTTTAGCCAATGATCAACATATTTTATTGCACATAATTCCCTTTTTTATTCCAAAATCTTATTAACTTGGTTTTTCTTATTTGAAAATACTTCCAAGGTTTTCATAAAAAACAAAAACAACAAATAAGGACTCTGGCTACTCTCAGTCTTTACACAACTGGAATGCTTTTTTTCTAATCTTGTATCAACTTTTATGTTGAGAAATGAGTTAAATCAGAATTTTAAAAAGATTAAACATACAGGGTTTGATGAGTCTGCTTTGATGTGTTGTTCTTCCCGCACGGACTTGGCCCATTAGTGCCTCGGAGTTTGGGGGAGGGTCTCCTCCGCCCCCGACTCGGTGGACCGATGGGAACTACATTACCCAGGAGATTGTGTGCGGACCGGCCTTGTTCTCCACACTAGTGATGGACCCGAACAGGGGCTCTTCCGGGATTGTGAACTAGGAGTGGGCGGGACTTCCGGCTCCTTCCTGAAGGAGGTCGTTTGGCTGCTTTTGCTGCCGTCTGAAGGACCCGAGGCTCAGGATCTCTCGGTGGAGCCGAGCTTAGAGAAACTGGAAAGAACCCGAGGGGTGCCGTCCACACTGCCCAGGAGTGAGCGGGTTGCGGAACCCACTTCCGGGATTTTCGGCCTAGGTCTCCGCCATTATCCTGCGCGTCTCCTGGCACCACCGCGCCCACAGGGTCCTATGTCAACCAACGCGGTGCAGGACCCGGCCCAGGTGACTGTTCCGCCCCCCCCCACCCGATCCTGACCCAAATCTCAAGCCCCCAGGGAGGGTCTCCTGCTCAGGGCATTGGGGTTCAGTCCCCTGCTTCCAGAACTTTAGGTGTGCGTGTGTGGTGGTCCCATTTCTGACAGGCTGTGTGACGCAGTGTGGAGCGTGTTAAAGGCTGTGGGTTTGGCCCGTGCAAAGACTTGGAGGTGCTCAAGAGCCGGGAGCATTCGGGAAACCTGGGGTTCCAGTCATTTATGCAGGGAACAGAGAATTTAGGGAGGAGTCAACAGTCTGGGCCAACTGTCAGCATTCTGGGTGCTGCGGAGGGTTGTGAATAAATCAGGAACACGGTCTGAGTTATAGTTTTAAAGTATTCCAAAGGCTGCTCAGGGGAGAACAGACTGGAACAGACTGAGTTCTGAGGGTGGAGGCAGGGAGACCTGGGAGAGCCCAGTGCATTCCACTCCAGAGAGTAAGGTGGCTTCTGGACCAGAGTGGTGCCTATGGAAGTTGTTGACCTGAAACAAATAGACTGCCCGCTATTTCTATTGCAAATATGGTTCCCCCCCTCCGCCCCTCTCCTCCTTCCCATCCTCCCCCCCAACCATCATTAGGGAATTGCAATTGGGGTGTGCAGCTATGGTGGGCTATCACTTTTATGGAGATTAAAAAAGGATGTTAGAAGGGCTGTAGCCACCAAATAGTCCATGGGTTTTTTGTTTGTTTTTTTTTTTAAAGAGTCCATGGCTTTGTTTTTCATTGGCTGAGTCCTTTCCAGGAAAGAAGGAGTCTTCATCCTTTTGGATTCCGTTATTGTTTCAGGTCAGTGAGGGCTGACCTCTTCTGGTGTGCCAACTCTAATTGAGGTTTCTGTTTACTAATTTTTTTACGAAGGAATATAAGTAATAAGATTCTTAATAATTCTTAAAGATAATTAGCAGGATTTCCTGGTGCAGTGAATGTGGCTCTGACCTAAGGACAGAGTAAAGGACAATAAGCATTTTCTTTTGGCTGAGCATCTGGAAGACTTGAGACCAGCAACTGATGTGAGAAGTCAGTTTCAGGGAGAGATTAAAAGTTGGATTCCGGACATGCTGCTTCTGAAATTCCAAAGTTGAGGTAACATAGGGGCCGGTGGAATCTGTAGTCTGGAATTGAAGGAGGAGGTCTGTGGCTCACTGATGTCCATGTGGTTACAGACTAAGTCCTGGACTCCGGCCAATTCTGAATCTCAAACTTAAGAGGGAAAGTTTGGTCACTTTTCTGGGAAAGGGGACCTGAGATGAAAGAAGTGACCTGGGGCTGGCGGGCAGTGCAGAACAGGTGAGACTTTCTGAGGCTACCTGAAGATGGGAGGGTTCTGTGGTTCCAGAGCTTTCTGGGGAAGCAAGGGTATAAGGAGTAAGGAGTCTTGCCTGGAGTGGAGATGGAGAAGGATGTGTTAGATTGTGTAGATTCACTCCTCTGAACACTTAGCCGACTGTGCATTCGAGTTTGAGCCAGCAAAAAGTGGGCAATGTTGACCAGTCATTGAAGCCCAGGCCCAGTCAAGGGCAGAGGTGCCTCAGCTCTCCCAGGAAACTACGAAGTTAAAAAGGTATAGATTTAATAAGTTAATCTTGTGTAAGCAAATAATAACTGCTTAATATATCTGTGTATAAAATAATAATAAATACATATATATATAAAATTTAGTTTTTGCCTTGGGCTCTTCACATAGACCTCTGAACCCCTTGGAATTTCCTGGGGGTTAGGACTTTTTTTCACAACGACCGCATTTTGTCACACAGGAGTTTATTACGATGAGGTGACTTAGGGCAGGGCCCCTAGGTAGACTCAGGAGGGGACTGGTCACCAGAAAAACTAAGCAATTAGAAGTTTATACTCCCCCCCAACCCCCCAACACTGGGGCCTCCCAAGGATCAGAAGGAAACTAGAGACTAGGTATAAAAACTGCTGAAGAATGAAATTCAAGGTTCCTTCAGATTGGTGAACACATTGAAATTGCAGAAGTGCTGGGAGGGTGGCATGTACTGAAAGGGCCTGGAAACACCATGGTGCCCTCTAGCGCCCCACCCCCCCAGACCTAGATATCTCTTCCATTGGGCTGTTCCTAAGTTGTATCCATTATAATAAACCAGAGAAATAAGAAAACTGTTTTCCTAACTTTTGTGGGTCCTTTTAGCAAATTATCATAACTTAGGAAAGGTTCATGGGAAATCTTGAATTTGTAGCCAAGTAGAACAGAAGTACCGTTAGCCTGGGAACCAGACATTGGAACTGGCCTCTTTAAAGAGGGCAGTCTTATGGGACTGCCTCCTTAAACCTTTAAATTCTGTCCCTAACCTCAGGTAGTGTCAGAATATGATTAAATGTCAGTCACCCAGTTGGTATCATAGAATCAGATCATTGGTGGTGGAAGAGACATCATATATTTGGTGTCAGATAGGGAATCACAGAAACCTCAAGGTATTGATTAAAAGTCACATTTATATAATGACTTGAAAGACATGTAGGAAATACCCAGTTTTCAAAAACATTTACAGAAATGTTAATCCTGTGTTCAGTAATAGCTCAGTCTTAGCATTAGATATGCACTAATGCATTTGATGTCTACACTAACATCATGAGATAGGCACCATAAATATTGCTATTATACACATAAAGACACTGAGTCTCAGGGACGTTGAGTCTTTTTGTTCAGGGCCATAGAGTTGTCAAGTTACAGCTCTGAAGACTGAGGATCCGAGGTCAGAGGTCAACCTCAGATGACTCATCTCCAGGAAAAGGAAGGGAGGAAACAGTTCAGCCTTTACATCCACACCATGATCACCTTTATCTCAGATCCTCCCTCTTTTCACAGGTTCCCATGGAAGCAGCAGCATTTATGGCCCCTGGACAGGTAAGTGGAAGAAACCCCAGTACCTACCCACACGTCATCCCTACCCCTAGTCCTGACACACAGATATAGGAGACAGTGTTGTCCTGGGATTGTGGGCCCTTAGGTCTGGGCCCTGGCACCATCTCAGGCACAGGATCATTAATCAAAGCCAGCAGTTGTATGGAGGTGTTCCCATGTGTCCAATGGAGAAGGTCAAGTGGTAACATGTCCTTGGGCACAGACTGGAGATGAGACTGAGAGGGGAGTCTTCAGGGAACTGCCAAACCCTTGACGTGGGCTGATAAAGACTGGGGGCATGAGTCATTCCTGGGATAGCAGCCTGAGGAGCTGGGCCTCTCCTGAGGGGGTGGGTCCATGACACGTTGGCCACAGAGGAGGGAAGTGATCTGACACTGGGTCTGAAGAGGCTGTTCTGCCTGCCGAGAGGAAGACTGGGGGTGAGGGTGGAGCCGGGGGCCAAGTGGAGGGCACAGTCCTGGTGAATGTCAATTGTGACTGGATCCTGGCAATGGCTCTGTAGCAGGAGAGGAGGTGAGTCTCTGAATCTCGTTTGTGGTAGACCTGATTTTCTGCTGTACAGGATGAGAGAGAGTAGTTGACATGACCCCAGGATGTTTGCCTCTAGGTGACGGTGGGGATGCCATGTCTGAGACGGGAAGTCAGAAGTAGGAGTAATGGACAGAAGGACTGTCCAGAGTTCCATGTTCCCATGCTGAGTCTGAGATATTGCTGGGGTGTCTTGTGGGAGGTCCCACAGAGGCCTGGGGAAGCACCGCGTGCTGGGTGGCATGTGGGGAACACGGTGAGGTGCTGAAGTCCTGGGGCTGAGGTGGTGGCATGGGGTGAGGTTGGGGTCACGGTCAGGCACGTGAGGGAGCTGTGGCCCTGCAGGGCTGGGCAGTGGAGAGGGAGGGAGTGTGAGCATGGACTCAGAGCCCTTGTCCCCAGGCTTTACTCCAGGGGTCTGAGCACAAGTGTCATTGTATGTGATGTGATCTATGTGATCTCAGGAGAGTTGACTCTGAGGAGAGTGGCTGGGGTTCTGTGTGGCAGCCCCAAAGCATCTGTGAGACTGCTTGTCTCCCTCTCTGTCTTAACTAAATGATGTAATGCTAGCAGGTTCCTGTGACATGAGGACCTGGTGTGTCCTCTGAGCTGGGTCACTGGGGTAGACGACCATGATCTGGGGTCCTGGTTGCAGAGGCTGCTGTGAACTCACTTGTCCCCCTCATGACAGGGCCATGTGATCTTTGAGGATGTGGCTGTGTCCTTCTCCCAGGAGGAGTGGGGTCTCCTTAACAATGCTCAGAGACTCCTGTACTGTGACGTGATGCTGGAGAACCTGTCACTTATAGCCTCCCTGGGTAAGGACCCCTGTTCCCACACCATCGCCCCATACGGGACTCTGCCCTTCTTTTTGCATGGCTCACTCCATCCTTCCGAGCCTGGACCTTGGACACTGCTTACTTCCCTGATTTCCTGTCACTTGATCTGTGTTCCCCCACCCTGTGTGTTGTTCAGCCCTATACCATAGATGTTGAAGCCTTTCACAGAAGGCTTTGGTCTCAGAGGCTTGAAGCCTGCCTGACTGATACCGCTTAGCTTTGCCACCAGTTGTTGTGTTGACTGTTCAGATGTGTGCAAGATCCGTGTCACATGTTCTAACCTTTTTTTGTGCACTGCCTGTGTCAGAAATTACAGACACTTACATGGTCACCACTTGTGGTCAACCCTAGATTATGTTTGCAAGACTCCTTAAGGTTCTTCTAGTGATACATCTTTTTCCTGAAGCCTGTCATTGGTTGGTTCACTCTGGGCCAGTGTCTTTCTCCTAGTGGCCCTATTTTCCTCTGAGGACTTTGATCTGGTAGTGTTCATAGTCACCCAGCCTGAGCTGAGGGATGGAGGCAACCCTGGGTGCCTGGCAAGGTAGGGCCCTGTCTAGTCATAGGACGAGTGTTAATTGCATCCTGGGCCTGGTGAGTAGGAGCTGTAGGAAGGCGTGATACATTGATGAGTTCTAATCCTACAGGGAAATGTCCTTTCTCCACGACTGTTTTAGTCTTAAACTCATCATGGCTGTACCTCATTCTATCGTTCTTCCCCATTTTGACACTTTGCCCCTTTTATGTATCTACTGTGGGTTCTTTCTCCTGGCTCTTTCTATCTCAATGTCATCCACATTTCTCCTTTTCCTCTCACTCTGCAATGTTGTCTAATAGTCTCTTCTTAATGTATCTTGGGAGGTGAAAGTACTTATATAGTCCTTGAACTCTTGGTAGTCAGGTGTGAATGCCTTTTCCTGGAGTGGGACACACATTCTACCCAATACACTTGTCACCACCAAAATATTCTGCTGAACACCGTTGGCCAAGGAGTGGGTTGTTCCAGGCCTCTACTCCTAGCACAGTGCCATATCCTGGTGTCCTGTGTTCTTGCTGTTTATAAGATCTCTCCCTATTCTGTGACCATCAGAGGTCTAGTACTCACAGTAGCCCCTTCTTCTACCTGTCTCCCTCCCTTGTTTGAATCCTGCACAATGGACTTCTTCTCTGATGTGTCATACAAAAGCTATAATGGGCTCCTGTCCCACAAAAGTCTCCATGCACTTTATCAGGTTTTTTTTTGTTTTCCTTTCAGGTTGTTGGCATGGAGTAGAAGCTGAGGAGGCCGTTTCTGAACAATGTGTTTCTGTAGAACAAGTGACGGAAAACAGGAATCCAAAGCTGGAGCCATCTATCCTGAAGACTCTTACTTCTGTTACGAGTGTCCTGGTGGAGAAAGATGTTTTGTACTTGGCTGACAATATGTTCACGTGCGGAGAGGTTGAGAAGGCTTTCCTAGGCAGCTTGGGCTTTCCCCAGCACCAGCCCTCCCATGATGGAGAGCATCCACATAGAAGCAGGCAGAGCAGGGAGGTCTCTCACCCTGGGCAAGGGCATCACAAGTGCAGCGAATGTGGTAAAGCCTTCAGTAAAAAGTTTAAATTCATGGAGCACCTGAGAGTTCACACTGGAGAAAAACCTTATGAGTGCAGTGACTGCGGGAAGTTCTTTAGACACAGCTCCAGTCTTATTCATCATCGGAAAGTTCACACAGGAGAAAGGCCTTATGAATGCTGTAATTGTGGGAAAGTCTTTGCCCACAAATATAAACTTTTTGAGCACCAGAGAATCCACACTGGAAAAAGACCATATGAGTGTAATGAATGTGGGAAAGCCTTCCTTCGCAAGGATTCACTTGTTCAGCACCAAAAAATCCACACTGGAGAAAATCCTCATAAGTGCGGTGAATGTGGAAAGTGCTTCCTGTACAAAAATAACCTTCTTGTGCACCAGAGGATCCACAGTGGAGAAAGGCCTTATGGGTGTAGCAAATGTGGAAAGTCCTTTGTCTTCAAAAAAAGGCTTCTTTATCACCAGCGAATCCACACTGGAGAAAGGCCTTACATGTGCAGTGAATGTGGGAAAGCCTATGTCTACAAAGGAAGTCTTATTGTGCATAAGAGAATTCACACTTTAGAGAAGGCTTATGGGTGTAACAAATGTGGGAAATTCTTTACAAGCAGTTTTGCCCTCAATAGACATGAGAATGTTCACACTGCACAAAGGTGTTATGAGTGCAGCGAATGTGGGAAAGCTCTCAACAGCAAAGTTAAACTTGCTGAGCACCAGAGAATCCATACTGGAGAAAGACCCTATAAGTGTAATGAATGTGAGAAAGCCTTCATGCGCAAGTATACACTTGTTCAGCACCAAAAAGTCCACACTGGAGTAAAGCCTTTTAAATGCAGTGAATGTGGGAAGCCCTTCACTTACAAAACAAGTCTTGTTGTCCACCAGAGAATCCACACTGGAGAAAGGCCTTATATGTGCAGTGAATGTGGGGAAGTCTTTGTCTACAGAAGAAGTCTTGTTGTCCATCAGAGAATCCACACTAGAGAAAAGCCTTATGAATGTAGTTCTTTGTAAGCAGCTCCAAGCTCACAAAAAACAAAGTTCACACTGGGGCAATGCCTTCTGGACTTATGCTTTCCTTCACTTGAGTTAATATCTAGCAGCACAACTCCTATGTAGTAGAGTAGGTGAATGTATACCTTATATGTGGCCAGTCAAACTTTTCTAAAATGGGAGTACCTTTTTATAGTCTCACGAGAAGCAGCAGAACATGAGTTCCTGTTTTTTACATTTTTACCAACACTTGGTATGTTCAGGCTTTCTAATTTCAGTGATGTCATAGGTGTATCTAGTGATTTTAACTAACATTTCCCTATTGACACAATGTGAGTGGTTTTCCATGTGTTAATTTCCAACCATATTTCTTTTTTTCTTTTTAGTTTTTATTGGAGTATAGTTAATTTACAATGCTGTGTTTCAGGTGTACAGCAAAGTGAATCAGACAGCCATATTTCTTTTTGAAATTTCTGTTCATATAATTTTGTCATCTTAATTACTGAGTTTTGATGTTTCTTCATGGATTATTGATTAAGGTCCTCTAATGGAAATATTTACCAATATTCTTCCAGACTTGTTCTTCTCATTTTAGTCACTTTTCCAGAGAAAGACTTTATTTTTTTGGGGGGGGGGGTGGTTTTGGACATGCTGTGGCATGCAGGATCTTACTTCCCCAACCAGGGATTGAACCTGTGCCCCCTGCCGGGGAAGCACAGAGTCCTAATCACTGGATCTCCAGGGAATTCCTCAGTATGAAGCTCAGAATCCACTTTTCAATTTGTGCATCACAAAAACATCCTACTAGAATTTTGACTGGGATTGCATTTAATCTTCAATTTAGAAAGAAATACTGAGTGTCCCAATCTATAAACTTGATAGATCTCCTTTTATTTAGATCTTGCTTAATTTTTATTAGCAGTCTTTTTTAGTTTTCTGTTTGTAGGTCTTACACATCTTCAGGTATTTTCTACATCTTATTGTGAAAGGGAATTTTAAAAAATCTTCAATTTATGAATTGTTCATACCTATTACACTTAGAGAGATATAAAACTAAGGACAGAAGTGATCTTTCTTTTTTTGGGGGGGGGGGGGCAACGTGTGGGACCTCAGTTCCCTGGCCAGGAATTGAACCTGGGCCATGGCAGCAAAAGACCGGAATCCTAACCACTAGGCCACCACGGAACTCCCTAGTAGTGATCCTTCTTAATCTTATAAATAACATCTACAAAGAGCTATTAGAAATACTATCCCTTTGAACCATTATTAAAGTATTCCCATTAGAATAAAAGGAGGACAGCTGCTCTTTGTTCTCTTATTCAGTATCATCCTGGAGTTCCAATTTCATTCAATACAACAACAAAAATATACGGCAAAATAATGAATATTTAGCAATTGGAAAGGAAGAAATAAACCACCTAAAATATGTCCACAGTTTTCATCTTCACTATGAGTCCAAATATGGACACTCAGTTTAGTGTCTGGACCCATCATAAACTCCTAATTTTTTCGTCACCTATTTGCTGCCCTTCTTACTTTCTTAGAACCCATTACCTTCTATTACACTATGCAACTTAATATCATAGATGAACTGCTTATTGTATATTTCTATCAAATACAGACTAAGTTCCAGTAGGGGAATATGTATTTACATGTTGTACACTGATATATTTCATATTCCTAGAAACATGTCTGAAACACCTATGGTACATATTGATGTCTTGAAATACATAACAAAATGACAACGCTCATTTAACATTCAATTGCACAACTGTGGGTATACTTTCTAACTCTCCTTACCCTGCCTTTCTCCTCACCCTGCCTTTTCCTTCAGTTTCGCTACCCTCAAAATGCTCTGAGTTATGGGACAAATCATATTTTGCAAAAAGCCTTTAAATCAACTAAAAAGTCCCAATAGTTATTTTATTGGCTTCCTTCTCTTATTAGATCTCAGAGGAGTTTTTTTTCTCACATTCCATTGGGAGTTTGATTGTTTATTTCAAAAACAGGTTTTCCGCCATCAATTTCTGCCACTCCCGATGCATATCTATCTTTTTTTTTTTTTTTTTTGGCTGTGCGACATGCAGGATATTATTTCCCCAACCAGGGATTGAACCCACTCTCCTTGCAGTGGAAACGCGGAGTTTTCACCCCTGGATCACCAGGGAAATCCTGATATCTATCTCATTAAGCACTTTTAATAGCTCTTGGTAGTTACACAGTCCCAAATGTTTTTCAGAGTTTGTCTCCTCTCTGTCTGCAGACACTGTCAGTGCACTTACAGGTGATGTGGTAATCACCTCCAAGAGCAGATGACATCGTTGGGTTCTAAACATTTATCTCGGGCTTTTGTGTCCCCATTGCAGACTCTCAGTTTCTGCCACGGCAGTCCTTGTTACAGGAGCAAATACACATTTGGTAAGTATCTCTTCAGGTATCTGATTCTTAGAAAACATTTATGTCAGGAAACCCAACAATAACTATTCTTAAAATAAATTTCACTTCCTGAGGTCAGGACAGTAAAAAAGGAACCACCTTAAGGTTATATATATAGATACATAGATATAGACAGACAAGAACAAAGCCATAAAATCAGGAAAGGCATTTGCTGAGGAAACCAGAGGAATGTTGCCCCTCATCAACGTACATCAGGAGTGCCTGACACTTCACCTTTCTCCTCAGTTGCATTGTTTTGAAACTTGTCTCACTGGCTTCTCACTAAACACACTGACCATAAACAGGGTTCACTGTAGAGGCTTCAAGATAAGGTAGGTTGTGAGTAATAAGATGAAGAAGATGAGTTCCTACTCTGAGTAGAGGCCTAGTGTCTGTGTGGTATCTGCTGATGAGGGGCATGTTGTGTCATGGAGACTTTAATGATGTGTCTCTAAATTTTTATCCTTGGCAGAAGGCTGTTCATTGCATCTCAAGTACTTAGATGTCCTCTTTATCAGTAATCGCCACTCTCTACCCTCCTAGGGCCTTGGCTTCCATTCCTCACCTATAAAAATGGATCCATTCTTCTGTCATCTATCTATCGTCTACCTCTATATCCTCTTTACTTTATTGTGATTTCATCTCAAAGACATAATTTTTTTAAAAGATTTTCTTGGTTTGATGTGGACCATTTTTAAAGTCTTTATTGAATTTGTTACAATATTGCTTCTGTTTTTGTTTTGGTTTTTTGGCACAAGGCATGTGGGATCTTAGCTCCCTGACCAGGGATCGAACCCTCACCCACTGCATTGGAAAGTGAAGTCTTAACCACTCTGCCGCCAGGGAAGTCCCCATTTATAATTTTTTTAGAGAGAAAAAAATTGGACCATACACCGTCTTAGAAGAATTGAATCATCCTACACTCAGTGAGAACAGGGCATTTAAATTAGACCCTTCCTGTGACTTCACAGAACCTCTATGATAAGGGGAAGTTATCAATCATTATTGTCTGTGACTCACTGGAGGTCATTACGAGTAGATTGACCCATGACCTCAACAATGTCATGGTTGTCAGACTCTCAGGTTAATGCAAACTTCCAAATTCCCACGATAAATTCTGTTGACATATGTTTTTGTTATTTAACTTCACCTTGTGGTTCCTCTCAGTATTCCTGGTTACTTCCCTTGTCAATTTTCTTATTCTGCTTAATTTTCTAATTCTGTAACCTATTTTCATTATACTTGTGGAATTTTTTTTACTTTAAGAATTATGACTAACAGAACATAGTCAAATTTGGGAAATTTCATATAATATCTAGAATATTTATATCAAAGACATTTACCCATACATTATAACCTGGGAGGGTTTATCACCACTCATTTGGCAATGCTTCCCATGTAATTTCACATAGCAAATAATCCTAATTAGCTTAATATCTCTGGCTCTGAGATTCTTCAGGGGCCCACTAGAGGTCAGAAGAAACTGAATTAGAATTTGATCCTTGGGAATTTTGTCAAAAATATCAAAAAGGTTTTAAAACAGTTGACTAAGAAGTATCATAAGTCACTGTCAAACATGTTTAATTATGCACTTTACCAAAGTGACAATAAAAGATTTCAAAGGCAAATACAGGAAGTTATAATAGATTACTTAAAAGATAAGCTTTACAATCTGCTATCAATAGCTGATATATATATATATTTGTCTTTATTGAATTTGTTACAATATTGCTTCTTTTTTTTATGCTTTTGTTTTTTGGCCATGAGGCATGTAGGATCTTAGCTCCCCAACCAGGGATTGAACCCTCACCCTCTGCTTTGGAAGGCAGAGTTTTAACCACTGGACTGCGAGGGAAGTCCCAATAGCTGAACAGTATTCTAAGAAAACACTGTCCTCAACAGAGACGAAACCAAATTTAGGTTTTAGCACCATCTTACCCTTAAAATTCATTTACTCAATTAAATTTATTCTATTCTTACTCCTGACCACACACAAACCCCTCCCCCCTTCCCCCAGGGTTTCTTTTCCACAAACCTATAACTTCCTTTTTTACCTTCAGATTTTTTCCTATGCCTTCTCTTTATCTCTCTCTCTTTTTAACCTCTCTTTAGGTCAAAATTACTTTCTCTTAACTAAGTGTATTTCCTTTCCTTGTACCTTCTTTTTTCTTGCATACAAAGATGTTTTCCTTAGTAATTTTTAGTGTTTTTCATTACATATATTAATTAGAATTATTCACCTTTAAAACCTTAATTTAAAGTGAAAACTAAGAAGCAAGCAATTTTGAACTATCTTTTACATTAGCATTCTGTAAGTTGGCAAACGTATAAATACTATTTATAATTTCTTTTAAAAAGTGCTTTCTTATAGAAAATGTCTCCTGTGGCACCAAACATATATATTTTTTAAAATTTATTTTTGGCTGTATTGGGTCTTCATTGCTGCGTGTGGGCTTTCTCTACTTGTGGCGAGCAGGGGCTACTTTTTGCTGGGGTACGCGGGCTTCTCATTGCAGTGGCTTCTTGTTGCAGAGCACAGGCTCAAGGTGCGTGAGCTTCAGTAGTTGCAGCATGCGGGCTCAGTAGTTGTGGCACACGGGCCCTGGGATGCATGGGCTTCAGTAGTTGTTGTGCACAGGTTTAGTTGCTCCGTGGCATGTGGGATCTTCCCAGACCAGAGATCGAACCTGTGTCCCCTGCATTAGCAGGAGGATTCTTAACAATTGCACCACCAGGAAAGTCCCTGGCCAAACATTTATTAACAGTCCTAAATATTTTTAATTTCCCTGTAGAAGGAAGCCTATGTTCAGTAATTAATTTCCCAGTGTCTTATTTGGGAATGATCTAGATATTCAATAAACTTCCATCATTTAACTTAACTTAGCAAAACTCAAAAGTTTCAAGTTACCAAAATCTAGAGAGACTTTTTTCTTTTTTTTAATTGATTTATTTTATTTATTTATTTATGGCTGTGTTGGGTCTTTGTTGCTGCGCGCAGACTTTCTCTAGTTGTGACGAGCGGGCCTATTCTTTGCTGTGGTGTGCAGGCTTCTCACTACAGTGGATTCTCTTGTTGCAGAGAATGGGCTGTAAGTGTGTGGGCTTCAGCAGTTGTGGCTCACGGGCTTAGTTGCTCTGCGGCATGTGGGATCTTCCCAGACCAGGGCTCGAACCCGTGTCCCCTGCATTGGCAGGCGGATTCTTAACCACTGCACCACCAGGGAAGCTCTTTTTTTTTTAATTGAAATATAGTTGATTTATAATATTGTGTTAGTTTCAGGTATACAGCAAAGTGATTCAGTTACATATGTATAATTTTTTCAGATTCTTTTCTATTATAGTTTATTACAAGATACTGAATATAGTTCCCTCTGCTATACAATAAATCTTTGTTGTTTATCTATATTAGTGTGTATCTGTTAATCCAATACTCCTAATTTCTCCCTCTCCCCACACCCCCTTTGATAATCATAAGTGTGTTTCCTATGTCTGTGAGTCTGTTTCTGTTTTGTAAATAAATTCATTTATATTTTTCTTTAGATTCCACATATAAGTGATATCCTAAATATTTTTATTTCTCTGTCTGACTTACTTCACTCAGTATGATAATCTCTAGGTCCATCCATGTTGCTTCAAATGGCAATATTTCATTCTTCTTTTATGGCTGAGTAATATTCCATTGTGTATATATACCACAACTTGTTTATCCATTCATCTGTTGATGGACACTTGGGTTGCTTCCATGTCTTGGCTATTATGAATAGTGCTGCTATGAACATTCAGGTGCATGTATCCTTTTGAATTAGAGTTTTCATCTTTTCTTGATATATGCCCAGGAGCGGGATTTTTGGATCATATGGTAACTCTGTTTTTAGTTTTTTTAAGGAACCTCCATACTGCTTTCCATAGTGGCTGCACCAGTTGACATTCCCACCAACAGTGAAGGAGGGTTCCCTTTTCTCTACACCCTCTCTAGTGTTTATTTGTAGACTTTTTAATGATAGCCATTTTGACTGGTGTGAGGTGATACCTTATTATAGTTTTGATTTGCATTTCTCTAATAATTAGCAGTGTTGAGCATTTTTTCATGTGCCTGTTTGTCATCTTTATGTCTTCTTGGAGAAATGTCTGTTTTGGTCTTCTGCACACTTTTTATTGTGTTGTTTATTTGTTTGTTTGTTTGTTTTTGCGGTACACGGGCCTCTCACTGTTGCGGCCTCTCCTGTTGCGGAGCACAGGCTCCGGACGCGCAGGCTCAGCGGCCATGGCTCACGGGCCCAGCTGCTCCGTGGCATGTGGGATCTTCCCGGACCGGGGCACAAACCCGTGTCCCTAGCATCTGCAGGCGGACGCTCAACCACTGCGCCACCAGGGAAGCCCCTGTTTGTTTTTTTATATTGAGTTTTTTGAGCTGTTTGTATATTTTGGAAATTAACCCCTTGTCAGTTGCATCATTTGCAAATATTTTCTCCCAGTTGTAGATTGTCTTTTCTTTTTGTTTATGGTTTCCTTTGCTGTGCAAAGGCTTATAAGTTTGATTAGGTCCCATTTGTTTATTTTTGCTTTTATTTCTTTTGCCTTGGGAGAATGAACTAAGAAAACATTAATATGATTTATGTCAGAGAATGTTTTGCCTATGTTCTCTTATAGGAGTTTTATGGTATCATATGCTTAAGTCTTTAAGCCTTTTTTTTTTTTTCCTGCACCACAAAGCATGCAGGATCTTAGTTCCCCAACCAGGGATCAAATCCGTGTCTCCTGTAGTGGAGGCACAGAGGCTTAACCACTGGGCTGCCAGGGAAGTCCCAGCCTTTAAGCCATTTTGAGTTTATTTTTGTGTATGATGTAAGGGTGTGTTGTAACTTCATTGATTTACATGCAGCTGTCCACCTTTCCCAACATCCTTTGCTGAAGAGCTTGTCTGCTTCCCATTATATATTCTTACCTCTTTTGTTGAAGATTAATTGACTGTGGGTGTGTGGGTTTATTTCTGGGCTCTCTTTTCTGTTGCATTGATCTATGTGTCTGTTTTTGTGTCAGTACCACACTATGTTGATTACTGTAGCTTTATAGTATTGTCTGAAGTCCAGTGGGTTATGCCTCCAGCTTTGTTCTTTTTACTCAGGATTGCTTTTGCAATTCTGGGTCTTTTGTGGATCCATATAAATTTTAGGATTATTTGTTCTAATTATGTGAAAAATGTCATGGGTAATTTGATAGGGATCACATTAAATCTGTAGACTGCTTTGGCTAGTATGGCAATTTTAACACTATTCTTCCAATCCAAGAGCATGGAATATCTTTCCATTTCTTTGAATCATCTTCAGTTTCCTTTATTAATGTTTTATAGTATCAGTGTCTTTCACCTCCTTGGTCAGGTTTATTCCTAGGTATTTTATTTTATTTTATTTTTGATGTGATTTTAAATAGGATTTTGTTTTTTTACTTTCTGATACTTCATTGTTATTTTAAAGAAATGCAACAGGTTTCTGTATATTACTCTTGTATCCTGCTACCTTGCTGAATTAATTAATTAGTCCTAATCGTTTTTGTGTGGAATCTTTAGGGTTTTCTATATAGAGTATCATGTCATCTGCATATAATGACCATTTTACCTCTTTACCTTTTTCTTGTCTGATTGCTGTAGCTAGGATTTCCAATACAATGTTGATAGAAGTGGTGAGTGTGGGCATCCTTTTCTTGTTCCAG